CAAATTCTCTAATTTTGATGAATATTTTTGTCATTTTTGATAAATAGTGATATTTCAGACTTCTTGTTGAAAACAGCAAGTCAGATTGTTTTAATACTATACATATTTTTACATATTATTTTCCAATGATATCTTCAGTTGTTTAATTGAAATGCACATTGCTAACAGTGGAGCTATCTCAGCCGAAAGGCTGCTTGTTATAAAAATTATACTTATTAAATACTGATAATAGATACATAAAGTTTTCTGGTCAGTATTTTCAGAACAGGAAGTCAGAAGTAGACAACAGGTTTTTTTGATAGGGGATGGTAGGTTACCGTTGACAGTGGAGCTCTCTCACACAGCTGCAGGTATTAATAGTTGTAACTATAGCACATACAGTACACTATACATGTATGAATTGTCCACTTGGTTACATTTATAATCCAAGTGAGTCAACACTGCCTGGTCTCCACTAGAATGGGTCAATTTACACACAGGTACTTTGTATAATAGTTTCACATCAGCCTAAAAAGTAGTTCCAGGCTTTAAAGTCTAGTGCATATTAAAAATCACCTGAGTGAGGTTTAACCTGATCTTAGCTTCTAGTTGAGAGGTCAAATGGATAAATTACTCTGCATTGTACCTTGGTTGGTTGGATAAGTAAACAGTAAGTGAAGTATACAGACCAGCCTTATATAATAATATATGACTGTGGATTTGTATTGTCCATGAGTTACATGTACATGTACATGTACTGTACATGTAGTAGGTCCAGGCGTTTCTTTGATTACTATGTCTTCTACCAGCTCTATGGTACATATTTTGCCTGATTTGTGAGCATTGAGCAACTGTGGTTCCTGAATTATTTGGTCACTATAAATGTGATATTGCGTATGATGGTATTACTATTAGCATTGGTAATTAGTGTATGTTAATTTATATTACTGTACTTCCCAGTCATAAGCCCTGCTCTGAGTATAAGCATGGAGGTATAAGCCAACTCCTTATTTTTAGACATCAACATCCCTGGTTATAGGACCAGAGTGTTTTTACCAGACATCTGATTAAAATATGCATGTAAAAATTGCATAAAAAGAATGATTGGTCTAATAGTTCTCTTTTTGACATGCTTTTACAAGACCTTACAGCCTTACAAAAAGAGTGATAAAAACGGAAGTCTACAAGAACTTACCAAGTCTATCAAACATTCTAAGTTTGTGTATTTTTAAACAAAAAAGTCAGGGAGGATGATCACAACAGCAGCAGAGAATACCCGTTCAACGCAATGCCGTCAGCTGACAATATTACTGTGATCATAGCGTTACGCATAAGGTATAGATAGATCAATGAAAAATCGCTGACTTTAGTTTTGAAATGCCATTGTAGAAAAAAAATGTCATTATTGATTTGTTAATTTCTTCATATTCTGATAACCTGCAATCTTGCAGACTTTACAAATTTAACAAAAAAATGTTTTTCCTCCACGCTGTACGAACTGACGGTAACATTGGCACTAAAACTGACTTGTTGTACACAAAATAATGATGAAGCAGTTACATGTACCTCCATGGATAACTATATATTCACTGACTGGCTATAAGTATTTCAATTTCTTTCCTGTTCTATTTCAAACTTTATTTGACTTGATGCACACATAAAATACAATGAATTTAAATGATATAAAATATATGAGATACTGTAAAATGACTAATTTTCACTGGGTTTAAATTTCACCGATTTATCATTTCTGGGTTTTAAATTCACGGTTTCGTCATTTAGATAATGTTTTCTATGCTAAATTTTACATATTCAACAACTTTTAATTTAGCGCATTTTCCAGTCAGCGAAATAAGCTAAATTAAAACCCAGTGAATAATTACCCCCTTTACAGTATGTATAAAACTATCTCTTCTTTATTTCAGTTATGTTTGTTGGGAAAACTAATTATTATGCAAATCAAATTATGCAAATAAGATGTATTGTTATGTAAAATTAGCCGCGATGCTTGGCTTGGAGTAACACTGTAATCATCACATTTCAATGAAACTTGGTACATAGATGTCATAGGACACTGCACAGACCTTTAGGGTAATGTCAGTGCATATTAATTACCTAATTTGCACAATTAATTTTCAGCTTTTGATGTTTCAAGTAGTAAGCATGATATTTCAATGAAACTTGGTACATAGATACTCCAGGACTATGCAGAGATTGATTGTTTTGGGATAAATATTTGTGCATATTAATTACCTAATTTGCATAATTAGTTAATTTTCAGCTTTTCCACAGATATCTCAGGTACTAATTATCACATTGCAATGAAACTTGACACATAGATCCTTTAGGACTATCCAGAGACCTGATTAGTTTTAGGGTAAATAATTGTGTATATTAATTACTTAATTTGCATAATTAATTAATTTTCAGCTTTCACACTGATTTCTCAAGTACTAATCATCACATTTCAATGACACTTTGTACATGGATGCTGTAGGACAATAGACAGACCTGGATAATCTGTACATATTAATTACTAATTTACATAATTAACCACTTTTAAGCTATCACACTGATATCTAAAGTACTAATTATTCCATTTCAATGAAACTTAGTGCAAAGATGCTCTAGGACAATGTGCAAACCTGATTAGTTTGGGGTTAAAATCTGTTTATATTAATTTCCTAATTAGCATAATAATTCATAATTTTTTGGTTTTTTGGTTCTAATCACATTTCAATTAAACTTGGAGACATAGATTTTCTGTTACATTGCGCAGACCTCATTAGTTTTACACTCAAATCTGGTCATATTAATTTTCTGATTTGCATAATTAGTTTTCAGCTAAGTAATTTCAAATTATATTTAATGTGTCTCCAATACTCTCAGCACATGGGAGTTCTTTCTAAGCTTTCTTTGATTTTCAGTTCTACTTGCACTATGTTGTTACATATGTGATTTCAACCACATATTTCCGATGATGTCATTTTGTAATATCTTTCATGGATGTTCCTATAGCATATATGCATTTTACCACACTTCAATATTTCTGATAAATTATGTTGTTTTGTGATTTCTTGCAGGAAGATGAAGACTATGACATTGAAATAGACATTGATCAACTCTTAGAATGCCCTGCAGATGAAAGGTGTACATATGTTAAAAATATCTTAGTAGAAGCAAAAAAACCAATAGATGTAAGTCACTTAGATGTCATTGATGCAATAAAACATGTCTAAGTTTGACATGTTTTTAGCAGAATGGCTTGTTTGTAATCACTTAAGGTAGCGAGACTATTATTTGTGTTGAAAATTACGATTGTCAATTTATTTATTAGTCCCCGTTCTGACAAAGTCCGAAAACGGGGACTTATAATTCGGTCTCCGTCCGTGTGTCTGTGCGTTCATGCGTCCCTCCGGAGCCATATCTCAGAATCCCTTGGACCGATTCCGTTCATTCCTTGCATGTGCCTAGTACTTTATGTGGGACATATGCACATGCAGTGGTTTAGCGATTCGATTAAAAATGGCCGACTGGCAGCCATCTTGTTTTTTGAAAATGTTGTATTTTGGACATGCTTTGTCAGTTTTCAATCAAACTTGGTACATATATTATACATGTTAGGATACATGTCCATGACGATATATTTCACAATTGGATCAAAGATGGCCGACTGGCAGCCATCTTGTTTTTTGAAAATGTCGTATTTTGGACATGCTTTGTCAGTTTTCATTCAAATTTAGTACATAGATCATACATGTTAGGATACATGTCCCCGACCGTCCATGAGTTCCTGAGTCTGTCCATCTGTCCGTGTGTCCGTCCGTCTGTGTGTCAGTCTGTCCAGAGTCATATTTCAGAATCCTGTTGACCGATTCCGTTCATTCTTTGCATGTGTCTAGTACCTTATGTGGGACATATGCACATGCAGTGGTTTAGCGATTCGATTAAAAATGGCCTACTGGCAGCCATCTTGTTTTTTGAAAATGTTGTATTTTGGACATGCTTTGTCAGTTTTCATTCAAACTTGGTACATATATTATACATGTTAGGATACATGTCCATGACGATATATTTCACAATTGGATCAAAGATGGCTGACTGGCAGCCATCTTGTTTTTTGAAAATGTTGTATTTTGGACATGCTTTGTCAGTTGTCATTCAAACTTGGTACATAGATTATACATGTTAGATTACATGTCCATGACGATTTATTTCGCAATTGGATCAAAGATGGTCGACTGGCAGGCATCTTGTTTTTTTGTTTTTTTATGTGGTATCTTGGACGTGCTCTGTCAGTTTTCATTCAAATTTGGCTCATACATGTACTTTATACATGTTAGGATGCATATCCATGACAATTTCTTTCAAAATCTGGTCAAGGATGGCCGATTGACAGCCATCTGACTTTTTGGCCTTACTACTATATTTCCACAATTTATGTACAATTTTCATTCGTATTTGGCACATACATCATACATATCAGTGTGTTTCATAATCAGATCAAAGATGGCTGAATAACGGCTGTTTTTATTTTGGCCATATTACTATGACACAAAACACGTGTTTTGATGTAAATAAACAATCTGTTGTATACGCCACTTGGAACTCAAGTTTCAAGGACACGCTCGCGACAACCCCTCCGCTTTAATACGACGAGCACAAAGAGAACTTAACGGGGACTGTGTCATTTTCAATGACTTGTTTCCTATGAGGAATATGAGAGTGCAATATCATATGTTTTTTTCCCTTCGAGGAATTTGAGTGAGTGCAATAGTATATGTTTATTTCTTATGAGGAATTTGAGTGAGTGCAATAGTATATGTTTTTTTTCCCTTTGAGGAATTTTAGTGAGTGCAATAGCATATGTTTATTTCCTATGAGGAATATGAGTGAGTGCAATAGCATGTGTTTATTTCCTATGAGGAATTTGAGTGAGTGAGTGCAATAGTATATGTTTATTTCCTATGAGGAATATGAGTGAGTGCAATAGTATATGTTTATTTCCTATGAGGAATATGAGTGAGTGCAATAGCATATGTTTATTTCCTATGAGGAATTCGAGTGAGTGCAATGGCATATGTTTATTTCCTATGAGGAATATGAGTGAGTGAGTGCAATAGTATATGTTTATTTCCTATGAGGAATATGAGTGAGTGCAATAGCATATGTTTATTTCCTATGAGGAATATGAGTGAGTGCAATAGTATATGTTTATTTCCTATGAGGAATATGAGTGAGTGCAATAGCATATGTTTATTTCCTATGAGGAATATGAGTGAGTGCAATAGCATATGTTTATTTCCTATGAGGAATTTGAGTGAGTGCAATAGCATATGTTTATTTCCTATGAGGAATATGAGTGAGTGCAATAGCATATGTTTATTTCCTATGAGGAATTTGAGTGAGTGCAATAGTATATGTTTATTTCCTATGAGGAATATGAGTGAGTGCAATAGCATATGTTTATTTCCTATGAGAAATATGAGTGAGTGCAATAGTATATGTTTATTTCCTATGAGCAAATATGAGTGAATGCAATAGCACATGTCTATTTCCGATGAGAAATCTCAAGTTACATTAACATGATAGGCTATAAACTATAGTGATGAAATGCAAGATAACAAATATGATACGGTATCCTCAAATATGTTAAACTCAGTAATCTGTACCTAACAAAACTTTGTTGTGATCTTGCTATCTTCTTTAAATTCGCTTGACAATAATGGTTTTCGTGCTAAGTACATGTATGAATTAAAAGAATACAAATAAATTTTATTTTGAACACCAAGATATAAGAGAGTTTTCATGGTACATGTACCAAGTGTTGGCTGCCAGACGTGGACATGAAAACATTTGATTGTATAAACAATGTTGATAAAAAAGTGCCCTAGGCAGTGTTTTAGTTCTTCCAAACTATGACTCATTGAAAAGAGATAAATATGGTATTAGTGTCTGTTAATTCTATTTTTGATGGCCTCAAATCTAGTTAATTACCTATTTTGTAACTAATTCATTAAAGCGTGACAGGCTTCAAAACTACTGTGTCTTTGTGATAACAATGTGTTTAACTTGCATTTACAAATAATTTGAATAAGTGCTGTCCATGACTGTGCACTTACTGTAACACATGTAAACTGTGAGTAAAAAAATAACATTCTCAGTTTTGAAATTTCCACCCACAACCTTCAGGACTAATATGCTAATTATAACACCAACCTGTCTACTCTGTTGATAAAGTAAATTGAATAGTCATGTAACTATGACAACAACTAAACTGTGTAACACTGTGCACATTCCTTTCCTGCTTAGCACTGGCCTGTTATGTGCTGTCAGCTGATTGCTGTACCAGTTAGCATATCAGTCCCTAATACAGGATACTTGAAAACCTCGGGGTTCAAATTCTACTCAAGACAGCTCGTATTTTTTCCCAGTTACATGTTGGTACATGTTGGCGATGTGCTTCGCTAGGATTGCCTTTATAATCACTTTTGTCGTTTTGTGTGTGTGTGTGATTTCCAGTGTTTTCACGTATTATTTCTTCTGTGATTTTTTTGGCTTGGTCGATTTCACTCAAACTTGGCAGGTAGGTCACACCTTCACCCTAGTTATTAGGAAAAATCTAAAAAAAAATTTTGGACCACCGTTGCCATAGCAACAGCCAAAAAACTGATTTTTGGATAGCTTCGCGCCAAATGTATCTCCTACAAATTTAGGATAAAACACTTCAGACATAGCTTATTCTACTCAGCTTGAGTGTGGGCACAAAGTTACTATTTGAATTTTTAGCCCCCGCCGGATCTGTGCATCCGTGTGTGCACATTTTCACCTTACCAGCTTTTTCTCACACATGTGTGATCCAATTCAGTTCAGAGTTGGTACAGAGACAGGAATTGATGGTGCTATTATGGACATCAAGTTATTTTTTCGATTCTTCAAAGTTCCACTGTGTTTTTCTTTGATTTTTAACATTTTTCCTTCAAAAGTGCTGGAAAATCCGACTTTTCCCGAGTTTAATCCGAGTTTTGATGACACATACGCAGTTCTCGTCTCGGTGGAAATCACAGTCATTTTTGTGTGAGGATATTGTATCCCGGAATTGTATCTTTATTTGCGCAACGCTTATCCGGACAAAATTGTGTCTCGTCAATTTCAAAGGTAAGAAACTGTGCTTGGTATGGTATTTATACACTTTGAATTATCGTTTGTGTCTCGGGTTTGGTGATCGTGAAAAACTATTGCTAACCTGGCGAGAGTTTCGCCAGAAAAACTGCCTTTTTGACTCCCGTGTGCGAAGCACAAAAGGGAGTTTTTGCAGTTACCCTGTCTGTATGTATGTATGTCACTTTTTATGTTCCACCGTTATCTCAAGAACCACTAATCAAATTTTGATGAAACTTTGTACATAGATGCTCTGGGATAATGCGCAGAGTTGATTAGGTTTTGGTAAAAATCTATGAATATTAATTACCTAATTTGCATGATAATTAGCTGATTTTTAGCTGTTTCAAGACTGTTCCCCTGATATCTGAAGAACCACTCATTGGATTTTGATGAAATTTGGCACATGGATGCTCTGAACTAGTGCGCAGATTTGATTAGTTTTGGGTAAAAATCTATGAATATTAATTACCTAATTTGCATGATAATTAACTGAATTTAAGCTGTTCTATGACTTTTCCACTGATTTTTGAAAAACCACTCATTGGATTTCAATGAAACTTGGCACATGGATGCTCTGAACTAATGCACAGATTTGATTAGTTTTGGGTAAAAATCTGTTAATATTATTAATTACCTAATTTACATAATGATTAATCAATTTTCAGCTTTTCCACTGATATCTCAAGTACTAATCATAACATTTCAATAAAACTTGGTACATAGGTGTCCTATGACACTGCACAGACCTGATGGTTTTTAGGGTAATATCAGTACATATTAATTACCTAATTTGCATAATTAATTTACTTTCAGCTTTT